ATATGTATATATAGATAAATAGATAGATAGATAGATAGGTATATATATGTGTGTCTGTGTCTGTGTCTGTGTCTGTGTCTGTGTCTGTGTCTGTGTCTGTGTCTGTGTCTGTGTGTCTGTGTCTGTGTCTGTGTCTGTGTCTGTGTGTCTGTGTCTGTGTCTGTGTGTATGTACGGATGTATGTATGTATGTATGTATGTATGGATGTATGTATATATAGATATATATATATATATATAATGGGATATATGTTTAGTGTGTATAAACATATTGATATACATCAGGATGTATGTATGTATAAATGCATGAACGTATGTATTTCTATACGTATGTTTGTTTGTCTATATATAATTAAATATTCTAAATGAATAGACTATCCTTCCACACACCCGATTGTACACACAGAGCATCTGCTGGTACAAACGCTGCGCCACGAGGTTGGCCGGTTTACACAGGGGACTTTTGATTTGATGAGTGAGCTCATTAAGTTCAACCCGATTTGCTTTTTGGAATTGGAGCGCCTGTTGACAGCCAATGCGATCCGATTTCGGGCCATTTTGGACCTTGCATCGGTGTGTGCTCCTGTGACAGCTACATATGGATGATGGTTATAGTTATATGGACGATGTTTATAGTTTCCTGTTTTAAATATCCGTACTCATACCCACTCTCTTATCCCCCTTACTTCAATTTCGAAAACGTATAACGTATACATAACCGTACTCATACCCACTCTCGCGTCCCCTTTACATAAATTTCGAAAACGTAGTCACCTTGGTGAATAGTCTGGCTGTGAATGCGTGTGTGGTACAGGGGACAGAGAGCATTGCGTATCGTTTACGGCTTCGTGTAGTCTTACGTTTTTATCGACCCACACTATATCCACAGTCGCGGTCTGTACTCTAATCCATACCTTTTCCGTACTTCTTCCCATTCTCATTCCCATATCCGTATCCGTGTCCGTATCATACAGGAGAATCTAGTGGATTCCAACGTGTTTCTGCGTGCTATAATGATCACCGTAGATGCCTGTGCGGCTCAGGGGAAGGCGCCTGTATGTGTGTGCACTCGCAATGTAGGTAAGTGTGCGGAGGAGAAGGCTCGACAACGTGCCAGTGAGTCGTATGACGACGCACAGACCCTCCGTTCGCGTGTAGGTGGGCGTAAGCAAGTGGGGGATTGTGTAGGTAGGCGTAAGTCGATCGGACTACCTACGCAATACACGAGCAAGGAGGGTAGTGGACATGAGGCCCATCCGCCATATAGGCACCAAGACAGTCAACATGCACAAGACATGCACAAACAAGGAGCAGAAACACACACAGAGAATGTGGGAGAGTTTAAGGAGGATATCCAACGCGTACCACAGGTACACGAACACAACCACAAACACAACTCAGGTGCCAATGATCAGGCGGAGTGTGTGGGTGGGTTTGAGGGTGGCCAGAGCTGTCGTCTGGGAGAATGGGCCCAGGAAGCAGCAGATACACAGCTAGCACACTACTTCTCACGACCCACACAACGCTTGAAGATCCTGCAGATGATGGTCACCGCAGTGAGCTCAGCCTCTATAACCAACGTATGTAAGCCAAACGGTTATGTATGTGTGTATTTTGTAGATGCATATTCATGGATATGTGCATATATATATAAGTATATCAACGTATATATATATATATATATGTGTGTGTGTGTGTCTGTGTCTGTGTGTCTGTGTGTCTATGTATCCGTGTGTATGTAAGTAAGTATGTATGTATGTATGTATGTATGTATGTATGTGCGTGTGTGTGTGTAGTGTGTATGTGTGTGTGCGTGGGTGTCTGTATATATGTATGTATTTATGATGTATGTATAT